ATGGAAAATGACATAAATTTGCGTAATTCTATGCTTAAAAAATTTGCAAAATATTTTGCGCAATGGCCCTTCCTAACATAATTTCTATTTAGAATCCAAAACACACATTTATGCAATATTTAAATTTTTATTGTTATGAAAATATTTAAAATAAATATCTATATACATGTAATTAATATTAAAATTACATCATGACTTTATATATTATTAATAACGGCGTTGCCTTTTTGAAGAAAAGGAACGCTATTCGTTTCCTTCTTCTAGAGGTAACTGTAACGTGTTTTTTTTTGGGTAATGGTAACCCAAAACGTTTTTCATTACTTTAAATATTCTTAAAAAATATGGAAAAACATATTTTATTGTATTATAAAATTATTTTTATTTATTTTTTAAATAATTTAAGCCGAGTTTTATAGTTAGGCCAACCACCATATTCCTTCATTTTTATTTAAAAATTTGTGGTTAAATTTTCAGTTAAGATAGTTGATCTAATTAATATTGAATCAGTTAAGATATGTTAATTTATATTCTTATTCGCTAATATTATAATATATTTTATAAAAAATATTAGGTCAATTGTACATATTTCTTCAGATGAAGATGATTGCCCTGGTCTCAATATGAAACATTTTTTAATCAATAAAAAATTAGGGGTACAAAGTTAGCACTTTGTAAAATTTTGTCTCAACTCAAATATTTTTCCAATTATGGAATAAACATGGGCAGTTTCGAAACTTTGCGGCCATTTTTATGGAAAAATGGGAAGATATCTAATTAAACCGGTTATTACAAGATAGAATTCTTTTTATACCTCGGTGAAATTAATAGACTTGTTAATACGTTACTGGTTAACGGTGCATATATACACCACCTCTTACATATCAGTTTTAAATATAGTAGTATTATTTTAAAAAATAATAAAAAAGGTTTTTATATAATTCAAACATTGTACTTCAAAACTGGAAAATAAAAAACCCTCAAACATTGCTAATTTATAAGGTTTAAAATGCTAAGTCTTCTAAGTGATCTCACGAGCATATTATAAAATTATTTCGATGAAAATAGTGTATATATTATTTATCAATCATTTTTGAAATATTAAATAATTAAAATATTAATTGGTAACCACATAAAGTTGACTGGTGCATATATGCACCGTTAACCATCTAACAGTATAAACGGTTCATAAATATTCGAAAATATTCATAAAAATTTTAAATTATTTGTAACTCCTTGCTGAACATTTTATTATATTTTTAATTTATTTAATTTTTTTCTACGCACCTGATTTGTCAATTCAATCAAAATAATAGATAACTAATTAAAAAATCAAGATTCTACGAAATAAATATTTAATTAAAATTTTTAAATGAATAAGAGATATAGTAATAATTCCACCAAACCACCCCTCTGCAATAGTGATGAAGAAGATTTCGACGAAAATGACTTAACAAATGATGGAGTTATGCCTAAGATACTGCTAGTGAATTGGAGATTCATAATTCAATTGATGCAGAACCATCCTCTACAAGAAGCTATTCTGTAATTTCTCGCCATTTAAAATGGAGAAAAACAGATGCATTATATTCTACAAGCCCTTTCAATGGGGAAAATGAAGATATAATAAAACTTAAAACAATTTGCATGGTAGAAGTCCATCAGATATATTTTCTTTAAATCGACGAATTCCCTAATTGTAGATCAAAGTAATATTTATGTAAAACAAATGAATAGGCCCATTATATAACCATCCCAGATATTAAGAGATTTATTGGCTATTATTTACTGATATCATTCGCTCCCACAAGAGAGGATTTATTGGTCTAATGATAGTGATATTTCTATTCCAATAATCCGAAATACAATGACCCAATTACAATTTCGAAATTTGAAATATAATATTCATTTGGCAGACAATACTTAAATAGATATACATGATAGATTTTATAAAGTCAGGCCTTACATAAATATATTGAATAATAAATTTAATTCGGAATTTTAAAATATTATTTATCAATGGATGATACCGAGGAAGACATTCTTGCAAAATGTTTATAAAAGGAAAACAAATTAGATTCGAATACAAATCCTGGATATTGGCTTCTTCGGGATAGGTTCTAAATCGCTAAAAATAGGGAACATGGCTTATAGGCGATTTTTTTTAAATTTTCAATTTAAATACAAGTGTTTAGTCCCCTAGTATCTATTAATATTAATTTCAAATTTACTTTAAAAATTTTCTAGGAGATATAAGCCATGTTCCCAATTTTTAGCGATTTAGAACGGGAACCGCTTCTTCCGACGGATAAGTATTTTAATTTGATATATATCAAGGAAAAGGCGATCATAAATATGTATTATAATAATAAATTTATTAAAGGCATTACAAAAACCAAATTATCATAAAATATATTTTGATAATTTCTTTATAATGGGATATTTTACAACTGGAACTGTGAGGGATAATAGAATAGAATATTTCTCAGTTGAATCTATAAAGGCTTTAGCAAAAAAAAGAAAGAGGATATTATTATAGGTTCGAAAAATTAAACGAAATATTTATAGTTCGTTGGAATGATAATTCGGTGGTTATCGTGCATCGATATGCCACACCATATCTTTGCTCTCTGACAAAGTATTCTAAGAAAATATTTTCTAAAATGAAAATTCCTCAATCAAATATGATTGCTTATAACAAACACATTGATGGAGTTGATCTGTGTGATAATCTCATATCCACATAAAGAATAAAAATAAGAGGGAAAAAATGGTGGTGGTCAATATTCACAAATTTTATCGATGTAGCTTTGGTAAATTCGTGAATCGAGATGACAAGAGGAGTTTGCTTGAATTTAGGCGAGAAGTTACTAACTATCTCCTTCGAACACCAGTAAAAATTAAAAAATTTAAGTATATGGCATACGAGCCAGTTTGCATTATAGAGTGAAAACCTTACTGATTCATCTGGACATTATTTATCTAAAATTATAGATAGAAAAATACGTAGATGCAGATACTGCCATAAGCACTCAAGATATACGTGCCAAATAAGCCAAATCGCGCTTCTTATTTCAAGAATTTTCATAATATATAAACATTTTCTTTTTTTTATTATAAATTACAAAAAAAGAACATAGATTTATATTTTAAGGAGAATAACCAATTTGACGAATCTTGTGATAAATCCGAATTGTAGAGATTATCAGGTAATGACAAATCGTTCACCTGAAGGTTAGGTAATCGAACTATAGGTTGAATAATTGGATCAGATGGCAATGTATGCGAAAATTTTTAGAGAACATATGTAAATACCGCCGAACTTGCTTGGACGAGTGGTCTGTTGCCAAGTTAGTTGTAAAAATCAAAAGTAGGGTTTTCTCAAGAAGGGATTTAATATCGAGAATGTTAATGTCATAATATAAATAAACGGGAGCTGGAGAATTTGAGCGAAGTTTTTAACCAAGAAAATGCTGATGAAACGTTAAGGTTTGTAATAGAGGAATCTTCATCAGTAAAAATAATTGGAATATGATGTGAGGGTCATAAGGATCTTCAGGTTCAGGACGCTTGAATGATATAATGTTTGTAATCTAATAGTGTTAAATTTCATTGGAGTTCATTAGATGAAGAGATCATAAAATATCAAGATTATTAAAAGAAAATTATTTATTTTTTTTAAAGAGCGTTTCATTAATTATAGACGGTTTGGATTGAAGTAAAGGGTTGATATGGTTTATGTTGTTTAATATAATTTTATAATACAGTAAAAATTATTTCTTACCCATTTGCATAAGACCTCTATAAAGTGAATATTGTTATATTCATTCATTTATATTAGAAAAATTTATCATCATTTTAAAACTATTCATGTCTAATAACAAAATTAATAAAAGAAAACAAATATAACGAGTTATTGTTAATTTAAAAAAATTAAGTTATTAAATTTCTAAATATTCTCAAAGAGACTAAGAGATTTAATATTTCTAAACAAATTTTCACAAAAAGGCATTATTAAATACCATGCAAATAAAACATATTGTACAAAATATATTTTCTTATTTTGTATAAAACCATTTTATAATAATTTTATACATTTTTATTTTGAATAAGTTTATGTATTTGTCATATTGGGATAATGAATCCATGCGGTGGAATTTCTCAATTTTAAATTTGAAAAGTCTTTGAACCAAAATATATTCCATTTATAGAGTAATCTACCCTATGGATTTTTGCAATTAAACTTTATTTTCTAATTTATATTAAAAAATCTATATAAAAATAAATAGTTCATAAGTTCACGGTAAAATTGTCTGAAATTCACTGTGTTGGTTCTTTATATATACTGGAATACATTTCCGGTCAAATCAGATTTTTCAAATTTAAAAATCTCTCACAGTAATTGATTTAAAATTGTGATACTCTATATCCCAATACGACATAAGCATTATTTTTCTCATGATTTAATGAATTAATAAATATGAAATTTATCTGAAAATGATTAAGCATAATCTCATTTTTTGCTAAACTAAATATAACAGGTGGCAAAATGATTTTTTAAAGTAAAAAATCCTGAAAAATTTACCTTGGTAACAGCTCCCAAATTATAGGTTTGACTACTTTTATCAGGTAGATGATGAATAGTAGAATATTAAATAACATAATTCAGTTATCTAGAGATTAAATTACACTGAATTCTGGTGAGTATTTGTGCTTTGCGAAAGGGATTCCATGCTTCTATTGGAATACGATGAATAATGCATGATATGGGCAAATATAGAGAAAATATTTGTGGCAATTCATTAATCGAATGACAATCAATAAAAATAAGTTATTTTTCATACTTTAATATCTCCAAAAATATAAGACCTAGGAAAACTTGAATTATGGTTTAGTTACATGTTTTTTAAAAACCAAATATCATGAGGTCAGCTGAATCATAATTAATTAAACATGGTCGGTTTTGGCAATTTAATTAATTTTTAAAAATTATAAAAACTAAGGTATCATTGGATTATGCCCACGACGCAAGCGAAAAAATTATATTTTTTAATAATAAATCCAACGGAATGTTCAAAATAAACGTTTCAAAATATCCTGATGTTAACGGGCATTTATTTCCACTTTTAGAAAAATATTTTAATATAGCTTTCGAGAAATATATTCATGATTATTTGTTTGATTATCAGAACACTACGTTAGATGAATTAGTATGTTTTATTCATTACTTATATATTTTATTAGTGACTATTTTACATCAAATTATTATCGCGAAACTACTTTTTTCTACACAAGGCATTACCATGAAAAGATATTTCGTCAATGTATTGCAACCAGGGACTTGGAACAATAACATTATTTTTCCCCAGTTTATAGCAGTTCCTGCCAAAAATATATTTAATAAAAAAATTTGTCGGTATTCCTACATGATACTTTTTATTGATTTAAATTTTTATATATTATTTTATAATTCGTTATAAAATATAGTATCGTTTTTAATCTTTTTTATAAATCTTGTTGCTCATTGGAATTAAATAAAGCCTTACATTTAATGAATTGTTAATTTAATTTTCTTGGTATGGACCTTTTATTGATTGTTAAACTCAATCTTCTTAGAGTGAATTTCTTGAGATTTTTATAACTTAAAAAATTTAGTTATTTTATCAGCTTAAAAATGATATTGACTGCAGATGCCAAGTCACCCTCATTTCCATTTATAATAAAGATATAAAAATGCTAATTATATAAATAAAATATTTCTGATTTAAAGCTGCCATAACATTGGGTACAAAATAAAATGCTTAAAGATAAAATAAGTCTAACAAGGAGGGTGCACAGCGTCTACATGACAGGATTTTCACTGGATGCAAACCCCCCTCAAAAACCTTTACCTACCCCCCTAAAAAATCCCCGCGATGTCTCTTTATGATTATTTTCACCTATTTATTGATACTCTTTTAAAATAATTTATAAAAGATAACTTAAATTAATCTATCTCTACTACCAACTATCGATATTTTGTGAATATAAAGAATTTATTTAGAGTTAAAACCTCCATTATTTACAATGAATTAATTATTATGGCATTATGAGCTTTCTGAAATATGTAAACCTTTTAAATTATATTTAAAAGGATAGTTTATTTGGAAAACAATGTGTATGATTGTTTGCAATATATAGATTTGGTCGATGAATTGTATTATAATAATACTATAATAAAAGTATTAATTTTTACAGCAATAAACTTTGTCTTATTTCATCTCAAAATTTAATAGATAACCCCCCAAAAAATTATCCTACCCCCATTAAAGCAGCTTACCCCCTCAAAAAAATAGGATGCAAACTGTTCCTACCCCTCCCGCTCATGTAGACGCTGAGGGTGCATACCGCTATGAATGCTAAGATGAACTCTCTTGATTGATTAAATTATGAATAGTTTGACCAAACTGTTTAAAATAAATGGCGTTATAACGAATGTGAAATATTTGTATCCGAGGCATTTTAGTGAAATAAATATCTAAGCTATTTCTGAAAAAATCTTAAATTAGTTTTGTAATAGGCGAATAAATCCAGTGTGAAATTTCGACATAAATTGTCTTTCACTTCATTTCCCTATATTAACAATGATGGGTTGTATGAAAATAGATGATATTATTTTTAATAGTAAGGACTGAGGTCTAATAATGGAAATAAAATAAAAAGCTAATAACAATAACTCCATGTGCACTAACAAATGTTATCAATGCTTGATATTCATCTTGTCTAGCCTCAATTATCTGATAAATATGAAAATTTTATAATTATAAATTAAATTTGTGAATAAAACAAAATCCTAATATTGCATCTATAAACAAGTTGCTAAATTACTATCTTGGTATATATAGCCTTTGATGAAAGAAGTTTCGCGGTATTAGCATGTAAATTTTGTTATATATTTTCATTGTAATCTGTCAGTTTATATTAGTTTATAATTTTTATATAAAAATAAAATAAAGTATTAATTTATTATTTATACGATATGTTATTGCAAAGTGCATATAGTGCCATTTTTTTTATTTAATTAAATTATAAAGTCAAACTCTAACCTAAAGTCTGTTTTTATTAAACTCTAACTTGAAAATAATAAATTAAAATCTAACTTCAAACCCGAACCGGCCAAATTAAAACATTGGGATAAAATTTATTTTTTAGAAATCCGAAGAGCTGACAAACATTGGACCATCGCAAAACAAAGATGGAACTTATTCCCATTTTTTAGAGTTAATACGCATTACTAGGTTGATTTATTCGACTTTAAAAATATATATTCTATCGTCTAAATTAATTAAATCTGTGTACCATCTATCGAGCTACATAAATATTCGTTTCAACCATTTCAATCATAATAACAACCCTATAACTGTAGCCTACTCACATTTCATCAATAACATAATTAAACATAACAGAATCCCTTTATCTAAAATGGTAATCTTACGAATACTGAATGATTATTATTTTTAATACAATTAGGAAACTAATACCAATGTTCAAAAAGATAATGGTGACATTATATTATTAATAATTAGTTTATCGAAATTTAAAGCATATCACATAGTTATCTTATTTTTATCATTATATCTTGTATAATATATTAATTTATAGGTAGTTACATATAATGTAAATTCACAATATAACAATATATTTTTTTGCCTTGCCTGTGCAAAATTAACAGTCAATAATCGCCCAAACATGGACAAAGAAAATATACTATTACCGATCAATACTAGTAATTTATATTTTTTAATCTCCAAATATATATAAATATATGCATTTAGCCATCTTTTCCGATAATCAAACAAAAAATTGCTCGTTGATAGATTCTTTTTCACAGCGAATTGACTATCTAAAAAAAGAAAACCCTTGCCTAATTTTTAATCGCCTCATCACGAAATTTGAATCATTGTTACCTATCTCAGAAATCGCTTGCGCTTTACTCAATACCCAGCCGAAAATATCGCAAAAATACTCTAGGGATGACCATAAGTCGGTTTACATAAAGCAATCGGAAATTGTGAAAATAGGAAATTTTGACCGCAAAGACGCCCAAGATTTATCCTTCGAATATGGATTGTTATTGCACTTTGAAGTTTTGAGCTATTTAAAGAAGACATATCAAAAACCATTTATGTTACGAGACACAAACAACGATATCTGTTTTTACTCATCTTTCATGACTAATAAAGCACTTTTTACTCTACAAGGCAAAACATCGAGGTAATGATAAATTATCTTTATGATTATGCATTGTTTATCACCATATAATTAAATTTAATTATGAATTCATACCTTATATTATGTCATAGGGGTTTAGTGAATTTCTAAAACTTAAATTATTTATAGCATGCGTTTTTTTATTTTGAAGGGCCGGATCTTTGCCGGAATGATATTATAGAGTACTTACCCTGTAAATTTCAAACTAATTCTTAACTTTTTAGAGATTTTTTATTTAAATAAAAAAAATACCTAAAAATTTACCGAAATTGTCTTAAATTCACTATGTGTGCACTCTGGTGCTAAGATACGATTCCAGCAAAGTCATAATTTTTAACATTAAAAACGAGCTCTATAAATGATATAAATTATATATATAAAAAAATAAGCTCATGTGACATATATACATTAAAACAGATATTGGTTTGTAACCTTATACTTGGACAACGAAAATGGCATATATAATGAGACACGTGATTCTGATCATGTTAGAAAAAAGGTGTATTTGCAATATTTTTCTCTCCCATTTACAAAATATCAAGAAGTCGCAGATTTCTTTTTTCGGGATATCAGATGCATTATGAATTTAGGATCGTCAGGTCAACTTTTTATATCTCGTAAATTGGAGCCAAATAATATAAGTTTATCTATTTTCAAAAAATTATTAACTTATGTAGCGATCCCATTGTATAATCTAGTGCAATATAATTATAAAAAGATAACTTTGGCTTATGGGCCTAACAAAGATTATTACGTTAAGATTCAATTTCAAGAGACCACCGATCATTCATTAAAACTAACTTTTACTCGTTCTACCTACTTCAATATTGATACAAGTAAAAAAAATAACGTATTCTATTTTCACATTTATTTAAATTAGATATTCAACCTAAAATCAACAATATAAATCCACATAATTTTATAAAAGATTTTTTGGAATACGAATTCAATAGATCTAAGAGTAGTCAAACGCACGAAACAATTTTTTGGCTTCTTAATGTGATATTTAAATTTTTAATTATATAATATATTTTAAAATATAGTTACTAAATATGACTTTGGAACCACTCAATCTTCTAGTCAATTTAGACGAATTGCCAATCTTAGGATCTTTTAATAAATCTTCTGAAAAAACTTATGTTGCCTCTCATTTTTCTCATTTGATTACTTATATCACATCCTCATCCATATTTAGATACAAAATTATATATAGAAAAATGTAAGTTGATCAAAATTACCCTTTATTTAAAATTTTTTTAAATCTTATTTACAACAGATTTTGCATCCGATTTTTTATTTCCATTACGAATCCCCGCATAACCGTTGTTCAAGATATTTCTAAACTTGGCTCAAATTCTAGCGAGATCAGTTATTTCCCTTTGATTTATTTTAAGGTGTATATTTATAATATTTAGCCGAATTTAAAACTCATATTTTTTAGGAATTTTTATACAGTCATATGGCAAGATTAAACCTCAAACCGGATGATGAATCAGTAATGTACGCCAATAAAAGAGACAAAGAAAGATATATTAAGGATAATATGGATAATACATTTATTAACTCGAACGTTAGACAATATATATGTAAAATATTTTTTAATGTAAAATGTTATAGGATGATAAAACTATATCATCTCGTACACACGAAACAAGTAATGAATTTGACGAGGAACATTCTTTTGAAACACATATGTCAATAAGTTATTTTGAATAATATTTATATCATAATTATATTTATAATAAAGGTACATACGACTATATATTCAAGGATGCATATTGGCTTAATGAGGAAGTTTTGCTAAGTGTTTTAAGGAAGACCGGAAAACCGCCACAAAATAGTTCTATGGAAAAATATTTGGAATGTGTCTTTATTTTCAAATGTTTAATCGAAGTTTTGCAAAATGACGAAAATGTAATCACTACACTAAATATAAATTCGATTAAATATTACCAAAATTCAAAAATGACCCCGGTTTTTACTTTTGGGATGCAAGTACAAGCTTCATTAAGATAGGATGAAATATTTTACTTATTGTTATAATTATAATATTAAATATACATATATATGCGTATGTAAACAAAAATTTTTTTAATAGTGATAATTTCTTGATATATTTTGGAATTAATTGTTCACGCGAAAATATAATTAGGAAAATTTCCCGGAAAAAACTGGAAATTTCCTTTAAAAAATATTTTACAGGTCAATAGGGGAGACTGGGGTTAGGTAAACCCCGGGGCTTGGCAAACTACTTAATCTCATTTTAAAAATAAATACACCAGAAGGTTAAAATTTTATCCTAATATAGTTTTTATTAGTTTACATAAAATTTTATCCTAATATAGTTTTTATTAGTTTACATCTATAGACAAAAGAATATTTTAAAATAATTAGTTATTAAAAATTTTCAAAAGATTTTTACATGACAGAATTTTAATTTTTTTTATAATATATTATCATTTATATGTAAATTAAATTTTATTGCACAGTTAAACACTCTTCTATAATTTGGATAAGTTTTACGAGTATTTATCATATCTAGATATTATTTCAATCATGATTTGTCAATTTAAAGCTAGCGGGGCTTGCTAAACTATACACATCAATTATAGCAGTTAATAATGAAAAAATTTTTAAATCTTGAAAAGTCATTTTCATGGTTGTTTATGATTGGTATTTAGGATTTAGCTAAGAAATCTTAATCTTTCCTTAAAATTCATATTTTTTTATGTTCAAAATGTTTATTAAATTAACCGAAATTAAGTTTCAATTTTTATATTAGCTTTAATTTATAAGTATTATGATATTTTGAACATTAAAACAAAAACTTATCATTATTAATACATAAAAATGCATTTCAATTTATTATGACCTAAAAAAATTAATGGTTTATGGTTTTCCTCATCCCGCTATTGGGGCTTGTTGAATAAAATTTTCACTTTTACAAAATATAAAATTTAAAAAAATGATTAAATTCTTAAGATTTTTTATATGGCACTTTTATAGAGTATAGTTTTAGGTATCTAATCATATATTATTTTTTATATGGCACTTTTATAGAGTATAGTTTTAGGTATCTAATCATATATTATTTTTTATATTAACAAAAATAAACCAGGAGCTATACCAATTTTGTAAAAATCGGTTCGACTAACCCCAGTCTCCCCTATTGATTTTTCTTCATCGTTTTTTAAAAAAATATATACTATTAAAATAGTATTAAATAAGTATGATATAATTTCAATTAACTTATTCTTTATCCTCGTTTGAAGATGAAAACGATTCTAGAAAAATATTACCTTTTCTGCAAAATATTTTTATTTTTTCAAGCTATTAATCATGGGCTAGGCAACGAAACAATTCTATTTTTACCTCTTTAGTAGTTGTTTTTTCTTAAATGTTCATCTAAGATTGTTGTTGGATTTTATCTATAGTTTTGGCCTTTGATTGGAAATATTTTATTTATCATTTAAAAGCAAATTAGGTCTTTTTGAGATGCACACCCGGGGTATTATATTCAATATTTGGATATTTATTTCTTACTTGCACAGATATTTATATCAGGGCTGTAAACTAGAGGTCTGCAGTGAACCGATTTTTCGCTCAATCTTTAATTGGGCGTGGTCGGGTTTTTTAAAATATTTTTAACATTGGGCGGGTGGCGGGCGGGTTGAAAATTTTTTTAAATTAATGAGCAAGCGTGGGTGGGTAAATTTGATATTTTTCAGAAATGAGCAGAAAAGACTTCAATTTATTAAAAATAATAGTTTTATTTCATAATATTGCATATTATATATGTTTAATTAAAAATACATTAATAAAGAGCCAAACTAGCCATTAAAATAATTTTTAAACATTAGGCGGGCGAAAGGGTAAATTTTTTAAAAAAATTATAAGTATGCCGGTTAAATAAATTTCAAAACAAAAACTTGCCCATTGCAGACTTCTACTGTGAACCCTTCTTCTAAAAAAGTTTTCAGGTTTTGGTGGTTCAGTGTAATATCTATGAACCCGGGTTCAGGATTCATGGTCCATAAATTATTAAAAATAACAAAAACATCAGTTTTTTTAATCTTTATTTTACTATAATTGGGCCTTATCATAAAAATAATTATAATATAAGCAAATTTTTTCCAAAATCGAGATGTTAAAATTAAAATATCAATTTTTTATGCCTAACCTTAACAGTGCATTGCAACTTGCAATTAATAAAACTATTTACCTTGTGATTAACCTTTTCTTTCGCCTTACTTTTAATTTAATAATTTAACAACCATAGCATTCCTAAATTATATGATTATCTATTATTTAAATTTACAAAATATGCTGTTAAATTTTTTTTACATAAAATGGAGTATACTCTAAAATATAATTATATAGATTCTTCACCAAAAAAAGTTTTTATATTGAAAATAAATTATATTATATGTTTTAAATAATTTGCATGTTTTTTTATATTTAATTTTAATATATTTCTTAAAATTAAAAAATTTTATATTTAAAAAAAAATTATTGAACCCTGACTCCTGAATTTTAAAAAGAGTTTGGGTTCAGTAAAATATTGAGGGTTCAGCGGGTTCTGGTTCACAGCACTGTTTATAGTGTTAATTGTTGTATTTCCTATTTCTTCATTATTTTAATAAATTCATTAGATATATATTCCCCCATATGCAATGCATATAGATCCCTGTTTCAATTGATATTTTTAATTCTTTCATATTCACTGTTTAACATATGTTTACTTAATAAATATAGAGACCTGCAGATGTACCATTTTCACGACCGATTTTTAAAAAATATTATATTTAATTTTTATAGCTAATAATACGGCCCGGTATATTTAAAAAATTAAAATACGACCCAGACTTAGAGTCTAGCCTGCAGTTCTCTGGCAAATATAATGGAAGCATTTTAAATGAAGGTTTTAAAAATTGAAATAATCTCTTCCAATACACACTTTGTGTTATGGAAAATTTTACATAAAGATGGCTAATGCAAATTCAATATCTATGTTATTTTGCTCTTCAGATGATACATTATCAATAAATTTCATTAAATTGTTTTGTTTGAATTGTATTGTTTTTTTTTGGAAATAATTAATTGATTCATCTCCTTTTTTTCTTAACAGGGATCTCATCTTTATAAAATCTGAATATTTTGATTCAAAGAAGTTGGATCCCCTCGCTTAATGAAGAAAATATTTTTAAACATAAAACAAAGCAAACGATTATATTAACCTTAATCTACTTAACTTCCTAGACAGATAAATCTACTAACGCTTCCTTGAATGAGAATTGAAAACTCCATTATAGCAACTATTAAAAATTTTGTATATATAAACAATTTATTTTGAAAAAATATTTTAATTATTGAATATATCACAATCAGGGATGTGAACCCGAACTCTGACTTAGAACCCTTCTAATACCGGATATTTTACTGAACCTCAAATCTTGTAAATTTAGTCGTCGGCGTTCAATATTTTTTATATTTAAAACAATTCTTTTAGTGTTGTTAAACAACTCGATTTGAGCCGATTTTTAAAAACGGCTAATTCAATATTTTAACCAGAAAAATATTGTCTTAGCCTTGAGATTTATTTAATAGATGTTGAAACCTTTTTGCCATTCTACGAGAAAAATTTTAAGGCTTGCATAATATTTTTCTGGATAAAATATTGAGTTAGCCCTTTTTAAAAATCGGCTCAAAACGAGCCGTTTAACAACACGAAATTCTTTTTTTCAATATTGAAAACATTTTTGTGAAAATAATTTTTCTTGGAATCGGTCTTATTTTAATGTATCCAATATTATCCTTTGTTTTATATTTAATTTTTTATAAAAAATATAATTACACATTATATATTATAAATTAATTTACTATAAAATAATTATGATTTTAATTTTTATACCCAAAATAAAAAAGCCTTGTTTCTTGCAAAATTTAAAATATAATATATTTTATTTTACAAAATTGAATCATTATTATATTTCAAAATTTAAGTCCAGCATGGCTAGATTTTTTTTTTAAATATTAAGCCAGGCCTAAATCCTCTTTTAGATTGATAAATCATGGCTTTAGCTCATAATTCTCTGATGGAAATTTTATATATTGAAATATAATAGTTATGAAAATAAAATTTATGGCTATCTAATTTGATTTAGAATGGTATTTTCATTTTTACCCATATTTTGCTCAATATTTACCTTTATAGAATTCTAAAATATAATAATTTTTATAATACGAACATTTTTTGACAGATCAACTTGATTTATCCGGCCTCATATATAAAATTTGTTAGGGAGTATGACTTGCATAAAGACTGGTTGAAATTTCAGGGGAAAAACAATGGTTTACAATGTCAAATATGTATTGATGCTCACAGTGATTATCAAAAATTAAAAATCAGTTTCATTAACATAAGCTCTCTAATGTCTTCCATCATCGATGCTGATTATCAAATATTGGAAAAATTTCTTCATGTTAAAGTTAATAATTTAATTTATATAAACTTTTCTATTGTCTGATAAATTTAATTAATAGCTATGATCTAGTGCTGTAAACATTTTTAAAAAAATCGAACGCGTTCAACGTTCATTGACAAAAATCGAACGCGTTCACGTTCAAATTCAAAAAAAGGAACGCGTTCAAGTTAAAATTTTATGATAAATTTTTTTCAAAATTTAATATAAATAAATGCCTTATATTTTTCAACACAATATATTAGCCATGATAAAAAATAATAGTTTTATTTTGATAATATAATTATAAATACAATATAATAGAGCGATAAAAAAATAAATTTATAAAAAAAATTTCTTAATAATTTTTAATAATAATTGCTTCTAAAAATTTTCATCTGATAGGCATGAACGCTTGTCAGTTAATATAGCGTTAGCTATACTAAAAACTCGCTTAACAAGGGCAGATGAAGGGATTGCGGTGTTATACTTGATAAACAATTCTTTTAAAAGGGGGAATTTATTAAAAACATTTAATGTTTTATCCATTGTTTCAAAAAATTGAGCTATGTTATCATCCTCCAATCTGCCCTCTTCTTCCTCGTCAAAAAAAGGATATCTCGGAATTGATTTTAAAACAGTGAAATATTTTTGATATTTGGGCCATGGTAATTCTAATTCATCTAATATTGAATTTTGATTTTCAGAATCTGATGATGAAATATTTATATCCATGCAAATGCTAATCTATTAAATTAAAATATAAAATATTCAAATTAATAAACTTTAATCTTATCTTCTCTAGCAGTAGCACTATGGTACGTTAATTGTAATATGAAAAAGGAAAAAGTAAAAATAGCTGATTAAAAAATATAAGACTTTTTTGTTAAAAAATGCGGATTAATATTAATTTTTCAAATAAATAAAAATAAAAAGTGTTTTTAAAATTGAACGAACGTAAAATTGAACGCGTTCATCAAAGAAAAGGAACGCGTTCACGTTCAAAGTTCGTCAAAAAAAAAGGAACGCCGTTCATCACTTTTTTTCAAAAAAACGAACTTCGTTCACGAACGCGTTCATTTTAACGCGTTCGTTTACAACACTACTATGATCAAGTTAAAATCACAATCAACTCTCTTTATTTTATATAACTTTTATTTTAGTTTCTTATCCACGAATTTAAAAAAAATGATAACTCTTTGATTAATCAAGATTGAGTTTAAAAAACAATTTTAATCATTTATAATTTAATTTGCATATAAAATATCATCATAATATTCTAGTTTTACATATAATAAAATATTAAAACTGGAAATTATAAGTTAAAAGCAGGGGCGTCCTTAGAAGTCTGCAATGGGCAGGTTTTTAGGCAAAAATGCCGCCCACTTGTTGTTTTGAAATTTATTTAACCCGCCCACCCGCTCACTTATAATTCTTTTAATTTACCCTCCCGCCTAATGTATATAAATTATTTATTGTGTTCTTTATTTATTTATTTAAATGTATTTTTAATTAAACATATATAATATGCAATATTACGAAATAAAACTATTATTTTTAATAAATTGAAGTCTGTTCTGCTCATTTCGCCTGAAAAATATCAAAAATTTACCCGCCCATTACTTTAAAAAAATTTTTTAATCCGCCCGCCCGTCACCCACTTAATTTTAAAAATATTTAAAAAAAACCCTACCATGCCTATTCATGGGCAAGCGGGCGAAAACTCCGCCCAATGCAGACTTCTAGGCGCCTACCAAATTTTTTAAATACATTTTACATAATCGGACCATTAATATTTTTATTTAGGACATCCGTCCTTATCTCAAATATCGTGATCTAATCCGATTTTTGGGTGGAAATGCTCACGAACTTACCAAAATATCTGTTTCTCAAAATTTCCAAGCTTAATAATTTACTTTTGACTAAAATCTTGAGATTAAGCCGTTTAATAGCACTAGCTGAATGTGACTTATTAGATATGTTTAAATCCTTTTTTGCAGATAATATGACGAAAAATAATATTCAATTTTGGTTTCTTTTATTAATTTTTTGTTATGTATAAATAGTGTTGTTAAATGGCTCGATTTGAGCCGATTCTTAAAAACGTCTAATTTTGGCCAGTCTATGACCAAAATCTTCATAACAAAACTACATTATGTATTTTGAAAAGAATATTTCGGAAATGCATAATATATTATTTTATATGATTTACAATATATGTTTTTTTAAATGTCCAACTTAATCCATTAAATAATTATATATTTTTTATTCGATGAAAAAGATTTTTGATCGTGATTTTAGGTACAATAGTCTGGTATCATATTGCCGTATATTAGGAGCACCTATTAATGTTTTGAAAGATTGCATCGATATAATGCGTTTAGAATTTTTAATAGGAACTAATAACTCCTTTAAATGGAATTTAGAATGGTGTTTAACGATTCCTCCCATAGGCCCTATCTTGGCTCCAATCGGTTCGCCTGCCGTGATCATCAAAAATAAAATGCTATTCCTTGTAATTTTTATTTCTTTTATAATGTTTTAGGCAGAAATGCGTCGATACCATTTTTTTGCAGACCGATATCGACGAATGATATATACTATATAATTTATTAAAAAACAAACAAACTTAGCCAAATTATATTTAAATATCAGTTTTTTATTTTTTAAATATTTTTGTACCTAAAATTATTCTTAAAAAGTAAGCTTACAAATTTCAAAATATTATTCAAAAACGAATATAATTGGAATAGTGCATTAAGGAATCGAATCATTTACTATTCGTACAAATAATAAAATTTACTACCTATATTCTATTCGAATAATTTGCTTTTTAAAAATATCAAAGTATATCGACAGAATTTTTTTTATTGCCCATCTAATTAAAAATTATAATAATTTGATGAAAGAACATGTGATCAAGTTATTAACGAAATTAAAATGCACTATTTAAAACATGCGATTTTTTTAAACAAATTAGTTCTAGCTAAGTAAGCCCTTCACAAGCAATTGATGTATTCTTTACCTTGTTAATCGTGTCACTTTTCAGATTGATGGATTATCAATAAAAATGACAAATGATTAGATTTTATTAAAAAGCATATAAATAACTATTCCAAATAATTGGAAAGTTATAAATATTTAATATATTTTGCGAGAAAATTTAATATTTTTAGTAAAAAATTAATCTATTTGGTATCGGTTTATCTTTGGTCTTAATTCTGAATACCATTCTAATCAGAAAAATTGGACACTTTTTGTGTCCTAAATCTTTTTAAAAAGTAGCATTTCTTTTCAGTTAGATAATAGATTTAATTTATAACTGAATAAATTTTTATCGTAATAAATGCAAAATACTAGTTTAAAGTTCACATACAGTTTAAATTAAATAATAAATTTAATTTCTAAAATATAAGATAGCATTAACAATTGTTTTAAAACAATATTTTTTAAAAGTTGCGAACCATATTTTTATCACTTAATTTTATAAATCTGAAAAGTTCGATTTTTTATATGCTATTTTCTTAAAAAAACTCATAGGACCATTCATAACATTATTATAATTGTAGTTAGAACTCAAAAAGAGCCAATATACGTCTAACAATGTTTCGTCAAATATCCAACCACATTCCTTGGTCGTTCCCATCGTATATGATATAAATAACAATATTACTCAACTGGCGGATCCCACGAAATCCTCTAGTGCGCTACCTAATTCACCCGTGATTTCTGCTATTAACATAGTTTTAAAACGTTTTGCCGAATATCATTACCAAAATTTTCCAAGTTTATCCTCATAAATATTTTTTTATTATTAAAAAAAGGAGAGTTGGAATTTAATTGAGATTTTAAAACATCTAAAATTATTCATTTTTTTACAACTGGACATTTCAAATAACTTATAACCCATAACTATTGTTGTTAAACTGACTATGTGAGAGAAAACTCTGTATTCACTTATATTAGGCAAAAGTAAGTTTGGCATGTAACTAGCTACAATTTTTCGAATATCAATAAATATTTTGTAATGCAATTAATTCAAACTTATCTATCGGGCAACTTCTTAATTTAACCGAAATTTTGAGTTCTAATCTATACTAACTACTATTAGAAAATGACTTGATAAAATGAACAATTGTATACTTTAATTTCTAAATACTTAAAAAGAACTAAAAATTTAATATTTTTAAAATACTGTTTACAATATTCACAAATACAAAGAAGACGTTATTAAACGTCATACAAATAAAATATATTTTATACAATCAAAAAAAAACAAAGATAACATATACTATTTCATAATTTTCCTCATGATGATGATGATGAATTAATAAAAATAAAAAATTATTTGAAAATGATTGAATAATCTCACTTTTGGCTAAACTCCTAATATAACAGATTTTTTTTAAAAAAAAGTAGTCTTGATAAATCGGGAAAGTGTCTAATTGGTCTAAAATCTTGGCCACATTCCCAAATTAGACAGGTTTAAGTGTATATTTCTAATTATGATTTTCCATTTTTGTTAGGGCTGTGCTGATCCACATATTTTTCACCGATCCAATCCAAATTGGCCCAAAACCGATCCGATATTTATATTGATTTTTCAACCCCCCTTTGAACCAAATTTAATTAAGAAATCAATATTTTTTATGCAAAAAATCGAATTATGCATTTAATTTAATTTTTTTATTTCTACAATAATTTAAAAAAGTTTACAGATATTGTTAGTATTAAATGAATTTTTCATTATTCCTCCCCGTGAAATTAGAATTCCGCAGATAACGCATTTTGCAAAATTATCTTTGTCCTTTATATTTTTATAATTCAGATATTTAAAGTATAAATAATAAAATTGGCGCTATTATTTAAAAAGATTTAAAATAAATATAACTGGGTGTTCCTTTCTATTTTTATAAAAAAACTTTTATAATAGTATAAATCTATTTGAATAAATAAAATTTAAGGGGTTTTGTGCATTTGCATTGTTTAAAAAAAATTATAATATTATTAATGTAAAATAAATATAAAATAATAAAAAAATGAAAAGTAAAAAGATCGGATCGGTTTTAAACATGTATCGGCCCGATCCTATATTTTTAGAAAACATTAAATATCGGTGCCGATCCGATATTTAATATCGGCACAGCCCTAATTTAAACTCATAGGAACTGGATTTTTGAATCAAATATCTACATAATAAAGTTATAAAAAATATAATCCTTGCATACCGCATATTATTAAAGAAGAATAACCTATGTTTTTTTTGATAACCATGTTTATTTTTATCTGAACCTAGACCTGAAAGAACCAATATTCGTTATGGTTCGGATCCTTGTTCGTTGATTCAACAATTAACATGTAATTTTCGAATTATCATATTCAAAGATCTATTAATCTTTCCCTCATCTCTTCAACAAAATAACTGTAATAATGTTCATACAAGAAAACCTTGAATGCAAAATAAGGGGGAAATAGATGCCATTTTCTTTGTTATTGATAAGACTTTTATGATGAGAAAATACCTATTAAGTTTAGCAATGTACTGAGTAGTGTGAAAAACTTTCATGCTATCTACTATAATTGGGATTCGGTCTTCACTTAGCCATTTTAAAAATATCGTTCGCGATCACTTTTAACTATGAAGATTTACAATTTTTTGTCAACCACTTTAAATGCCGTTATAATATTATCTTCCGCATGATCTTGTATGATTGCTATTCGACAGACATGTGATGTGCATCCGTATTTGGCATAAGATAGGTGATTTGGGTCATTTGTTTATGATTTGAAATTTTTATGAAAAATTAATATTTTTCATTTTGAAAATTGCAATTATTTATAATATATTTTATTTTGCATAATAAAAAGATAAATTGAAAATAAAAATTGTTACTTATATAGAAAATTTGTAAATTAACTGCTACTTAACTAGTTACTTTTGAAGTAAAAAATATAGTTATTTAACTTACCACTTGTTTTAACCCTCAGAGATTTTGTGGGTTAGCCGCAATAAATTTTGAAATTATTATTACAAAAAAGATGTAGATTTTAGCAATATCTAAGTTCTTATTCCAAGGGTTTTTTATTGGCAAAAAATGGCCAATAATGTTTTTACATTCATTTATAAAACATAAATTTTTACCAATATAGAATGGACATCAAAATATAATTTAAATGACCATCTATGTATTTTGATATAAGTGAATGCATGATATGGGATATTGGGTTTAATCAGAGTTGCTAAGGAGCAGCGCTACAGGAGCGCCTCTACACTTAAACACCTAAAGCGCCCTTCCCTTTAAAAAGCAGGAACGGGAGATAGCTCCTGGGCTGGAATGGAGGAGCGCCGCTCCACCGCTCTTTTAAATTTAATTAAAATATTTAAAAACCTCTGATAAAAGTACGTATTTTTTTAAATATAAATTAGAGACATGTAGATACCGAACGGGCTGAAAATGGTTTAAAAATCCGAACTCGGTTTATAAAAATTAACGAACCCGAATCTTTAATTTATTTAATAAATTATATTAATTAATCAATAAAAATATGTTGGGAAATCATAGTTAATATTCATTTACTCATATTTTCGATTCCTTTGAGACAATTTGCAAAATACAACCAAGTATTAAATAAAAAAATTTAAATATTCCTGGCTGGGCTATTAGAATGATCAAAATAAAATCAAAGCCAGAGCAAAAAATCTGCCGGGCTTTTAAATATTTATTTTTTTAAATTCAAATCGAGTCTAAAATTTCTATTTTTGCAAACCATATCTGTCGAACCCTATCCTATTCCCGTTTCAATAAAAAATATTGTCCATATCTTGGGATGGAACTAGGGTCTAAATGATTTTCTCTTTTTCCGTTTAAGTCTGTAATTTATCAGCACACCATCAAAGAGTGATTTTTGTATACACTATGATAGTATTTCACCTTTGCTTAAATATTTTATGAAACAATACTGCCCGAAAAGGAAATTAAATTGGTCAAATACCTAACTTACCAACTGTAAAGGCAGTTTATTATATTATGGATTAATAAATATTTTATTACAATATTGTAGATAGATGTAGTCTCTATCCTTCCGTCAAAGAATTAATCACCAATCTTACTATATCGACATAGAATATGACTGTCTCGGAATATTATTTATTATTCTTGTTGTATTGTGTTAAAAATAATAAAGTAATAAAATTTGCTTTGATTAGTTTAATTTTATTGATAAATATTATAAGTAAACTTTATATATCAAATTTAATATTTTGCTAATTATAATTTAAATTTCTAATTATTTTTAATGGTCACAATAACGTTTTTCAAATAAAGTGTTCAACTCGAGAATTACGTATAATTCCTATATTTATATTTAAAAAAATAGATGCATCATTAAAAAGTATTTTAAAAGACAAGAAAACTATTAATATTTAATACCTTAACATGAAATGTTATTCAGGTAAAGAGATTCGTTAATTTTTAAAATTGTAAACATCGATATAATCTTATAGTCACCGTTAACAACTATATGAATTTTAAAAATCAGAATACGAGACTTAAATAATAAATAATTTTCATTTTTATTTAATTAAACAAAAAACAATTAGAATAAGTTTATTAAGAAATGCGAGATCTAGAAATAAAAGTTGACGACGGTGGTAAAAATAGTGGACGAAATTTTTCGTGATTTTCTAGGTTACACCCTCCAGACAAAAAAGTTTTGAAACTATTGTTTGTAATAAGATTTGGGCTGGGATTGACACACTTTGATAACGGATCCGAGAACAAATTTTTATTCTTGGCCAATATAACGAGGCAATTATCGCAGGGTAGCAATTGGCGACATAGCAAACCAAATTCTTTCAAAGAATCTTTTGGACTAACAGAAGACCATCCGCCTTGTTTCTCCTTTGTGTCCTGGACGAAAAACAAATGACTTTTTTGAACTAACATGTGCGTCATCTATATGTAGTGTATGTAGATAATTTATAAATATTCATCGGTTATTTTTCTTTATTTTTGTAGGATTCATCTTCTTATGATATAAATAACTTATAAAAATTAAATTATTAGATATATTTAATAATAAAGGAACATACATTAATAGTTGTATTTCCTTTTATCTCTTAGTAAATAGTTTAAATCCTTTAATATAATTATATTAAAAATAATTATATTTTAAATTTCAATAATATTAAATCCTAAGTTGGTGTATAAAATGTAATTTATATTATTTTTTTCTTATATATTATATAAAATTAAATACTGCCTTGCGCTCAAGTGCTAGTGTTGAAAGATTATTTAAGGCGAAACTTATACTTTCTGATCGTCTGGGATGAGAGTACAGAAATGATTGTATTATTAAAGTGTAACAAAATAAATAAAAAATTAATGTATATATTAAAAAATTTTACTTAAGCATTTGTAGTTTACCTTGGCATTCGCAGTTTAATCAACCCCGATCAACCGAAATTAAACTGCATATTAATTTATAATGCCAAGCCAATTTTTAAGGCAAAAAGATTTTCTTATTATTCCTTTATAAGACATGCCATTTCTTGGAAGGGCAAATTAGTTCCAACTAAGGAAATAGGAATGACAAATGATTCAATTTTATTTTAAAAAACATTAATAATTATTCTGAATAATTCATTTTTTGAATAGGTCTGTTGATACTATGATCAATTCAGAATATGTAAACCAATAACGAAACTAGTGGGGCGTGGGGACTCGAGACCCCTATTTTTGTTTAGAAAATACCTTTAAAAAGAGTAATTAAAATATTTCCTAAAAAAAAGAATTTTGAAAAGATTCTTAAAAAAGGTAAACAAATTTCCCTTTTTAAAGTTGAGCCCCAAGAGATTGTAAAGGCTAGTAACGCCACTGATGTACACATTAATTTAATTAAAATAATTTGTCATAGGATCTATAAGACTTGGCCCGAACGAGCTTTAAAAAATATCAGGGCTTATATATTTAAATATAATATATAATTTTGAGAAATAAATTTAAATACTTTAAAATTTTATAAGAAACAAAACACCAATAATTTTTTATTTGTAGAATATTATTTATAAAATTAAAAATTAATACTTTAAAATTTTATAAGAAACAAAACACCAATAATTTTTTATTTGTAGAATATTATTTATAAAATTAAAAATTTTTCTATATTTAAATAAATCCGGCCCGGGGGAACAAATTTATATTTTAACTTCAGGCCAGGTTTTTCAGGATAAATAAATAAAAGTTTCCTTCCAAATCGGGTAGGTTACATTTTTTAAAAAAAATTTAGGCCGGGTTTGAAAAATTTGGCTCTACAATCAGAATATATTAAAATATCATAAATGGGCAAATATTAAATAATGATAATAATTTAACAATGATTTATTTAATAATTTCACAAAGTAATTTAATAATAAATCGGTTCTACCTAATCTAGTATAAAATTTTTTAGAATTGTTTTTATTTATACGAGGAGCGGATTTTAAAGTATTAAAACAGATAAAAGGTTTTATGCGAGCTGAAAAAACTTGTGTCATTTGAGCACGAATTTGGAATCATTTTTTTTTATCAGAAATGATAAATATTTATTATATATTTAAAATCACCATTATATATGCATTTACCCCTTTTCTTTTAATATATAATACGTCCTATTTTTAATATATTATTTATAATGGGTTTCAATGAATCCCACTATGCAGAATACAGTCAACTGATGAAAGGATATCAGTATATATTAATGAACCCTCTGTTTCAATATATTGTAAATTTATTATATACTCCCACATATTAGAAAAATGATGCTCCACTATAATAAACTTATGGGCCGAAAAGAAACTATCTGATTTCTTTCGGAATTTTTGATATTTCAAAATAATTTATATGCTGCCCAAAATATGAAACGTTAAAAAAAATATTTTTTTCCCTTTTGGTACTTATATTTATTATTATTTCATAGATTTAAATCTGCCAATATTTTTAAAATTGAAATAATTTTTTTAGCGATAAATTGCTAATGGAGATGAATAAATAGCAGCCTACCGGGAATATTGGAGCATAATACCCGATTTCTAAGATCAATCTATAACCAAACTAATGCCTGTAAATAGGGTTGAATGCCTGCTTATCCATACCAATGATATTAATACTTTGGCCTCTCAAAGCGAATCTTTTGATTTCGATAAACTTTAAAAAATCCAACCTTCTATGACTAAAAAACTTAAGGGGCTTGTATTCTGGCAGAAATGAAAGTTTATATGAACATATCAGCAGAGCCCTACCCATAACCATTTAATTAAAAAAAGTGCCTTTGGAGATTAGATGTGCCGCCTTACATATACATATAAGATCTGGGCAAAGGAGAAGATATTCTCATTGTTCAACAATTATCGATGAACATCGTTCAGATTTGTGTCGTTATTGTCTCTCTTAAAGTTGAAATAGTTTTAAAGCGTGTCATGAATAATAAATCATAAACGTTTGTCCCAGGTTAATTTTTCTAATATATTATGAAATATTTATATATTATTAAAATTATAACGAAATTATATGATATTTTTACTATATATTTTCAATAAAAAATTTTACCTATCCAAAATCGGACTTTTCAATTTTGAATTTCTGTCCATGAAGAAAAAATAAATATATAATTTGGAATTAATTTTTTAAGCTGTATCCTAAATATATTTAAAAAAACTCAACATTTATAAATTTTCGCAAATTAATTAAATTATGAAACATGTCCGAAATCTTCCATTATTTTTTTTAAAGTTTTATATAAATTAAAGTTAAAAAAAGAAAAACATAACCAAAAAAATGAGAAAATATCAATCACCAAATACATAATTATTACTTACTAGTTTTTTCATAAAAATTACCCCAATAAATAAATTATGAAAAATTTTTTATTCAAATTTACTAATTTCTATTATTTTTTTAAAAAAATAAATGTAAATGACGAAAAATGATTTAGATGATATTTTATTTTTACATTAAAAATAGCTTGTTATTTTTTCCTTCAAAATTAATAAATTTATTTTTTTTCTATTTAGGATATAGTCTTCTCAGAAAAGAGAAATATTAATATGGTTTTATCAATTTTTTTCCAAAATTATATATAATATATCGATATACACATTAGTGATCTGCAGCCTAATTATTCAAGCCCGGCCCGAAATTTTTTTAAAAAGTTTTGCCGGCCTGACCCGAATTTATTTAAATATAGAAATTAATTTATAATTACTCAAAATAAAATATATATGTTATATGGCGTCTAGTTTCTATAAATAAAATAAAATATTTTTATTTTACATAAAAAATTCAACATAAAATTGATAAATTTAGATATATTTAAAAAAAATTCCAAGACTCGACCCGACCCGGTCCGAATTTTAAAAAAAATAATAACGCGACCCCCCCCCCCCCGAAGTCCATTCGGGTCGGGCCTAATTTTGCAGATCTCTTTAAAATGCCTTGAATGGTGTTTTCAAATATATAATATTTCTCATTTCTGATGAAAAATGAAGAAAAGGAACGCCATCCTTCTTCTTGAGAGTAACGTGTAACGCGTTTCTTTCTTTTTGAATAACGGTAACATAAAACGTTACTTAAAATATTTTCTTAAAATGAAAAACATATTATATTGTATAATAAAATTATTTCTATTTATTTTTTTAATTTTATAACTAATTTAAGCCGAGTTTTTAAGTCAGATCAATACCAAATTCCTTCATTTTTATTTTAAATTTTCAGTTGTTAATAATTAATATTGAATCAATCAAGATCTGTTAATTTAATATTATAATTTATTTTATAAAGAATATTATGTCAATTGTATCAGATGAAAATTATTTATGCCCTGGCCCCAATATGAAACATTTTTTACCCTAATAAAAAAATGTACAAAGTCTACACTTTGTAAAACTTCAATTGTGGGATAAGCATGGGCTGTCTTGAAACTGTGCAGCCATTTTTATGGAAAAAATGCAAAGAAGATATCAGATTAAATCAGTTATAACAAGATGGAACTTTTTTTAAAACTCCGTGAAACTAATAGTCTTAGTAAAGGGAATGACCAATTTGGCGAATCTTTTGATAAATCCGAATTTCAGAGATTTCTGATAATGGCAAGTCGTTCAAAGATATAGTATGGTTAGTGATTAAAAAAATATGATATGTATATATGTGATTTTATGTTATGGAACCTGTTGCTATAGCTCCTCCGATTTTAGAACATTTGGGATATCTCACTCCCACGATAACTATTATAATATTAAAACTTTTAAAAAATTGCTTTAAATAAGTTGCAAGACATAGATAAAAGGTATACAAATGAAATATTGTTTACAATTTATATTTTGAATATATTTATTTTCAATAGATTCGAATAATCTATAAATATGAATATATATAATCAGCAAAATTTCACCCACTATTCAAATTAGATTGGTCCTGGATAAATTATAGTTTAACGACGGAGAAAAGCTTGAATATTTCCAGTTTGAAATATCTTAACAAAGAAAAAGCAGACCTTGATTCCTTTAAAAACAACCCATATACCAGATTATTTTCTGATAAAGATAAAAAAAATTTGATAAGTGTCGTAGTTCGCTATATTTTTCCTTTTGTTTATATAAAATTAATAATGTCAATCATTTTAATAATAAAACTTTGATTTTTGATATCATTTTTTTTATATAGTTTTTGTAAAATGATTTGATTTTGATCATTAATTTTATATGCTTAAATTTATAAAATAATTTTTTTATGCTTAAAATTATAAGATAATTTTTTTTGTGTGCTTAAAATAAAAAAACGATTAATATCATTTGTGTTGAAATTTTCAAAAACGAAGAATTAATTTTTCTAAGATTTTGTTTTATCAAGTTTGATTTATAAGAGTTATCGAAGTAGTATTGAGATATCTGTGTAAGCCTTTGGTTTTAAGTTCTGATATT